AAGAAGAAGTATTACACAGACATAATATTGAAATCTGGTTAATTAATTTTACTCTGATTCTATTCTATAGCTTAATATGTGTTAATCTCAGTCTCTCTTCTAGCCTCGCTGCATCATCATCATCATCAAAATAAATAGTAAATGACATGGAGAGTGCTTTTGTGTCGACTCACACAGGATGCGTGACAAAATAACGGCAGGACTTTGCAGGTATACCTAATATAATTTAGGTAATTATAGCAAATGGTTACATGGGACTCATAACTGGTAATAAATTAGCACCATAAGATTTGTCATTATCATCATAACATCCTATCATCCGCAAAGGGGTAGGCAGAGGTGCAAATTATGCCACTGTACAATATAACACCCACTTTTCACTATTTATGTTATAAGTCCCATGTAATAGGGGGTGAACCTGTTGGCATATACCGGGTACAATTCCTGACTCTGTGCTACTATTGAAAATGTTTAAAAAACCCAGTAATACTTTGCCCGACACGGGAATCGAACCCGAGACCGAGGCAATCAATTCATAAGACTATAAGATCAGACAGTCAAAAGATTTGTAGGTATTATAAATGCTTTAGGTTCATTTCCTCGCAAGCCTTGACAAGCGTCAGCAAACCCTAAGCATCCACAAATCTTGCTCGGCATTTTGGAATGTGTCACTGTGCTACGTACATCGAAGTAAGTGCTTTTTGTGTCCAAAAACTAACACTAGACCAAATCCTATACAAGCGTTCACAAGCTCAGGCAAGCCGAGCCAAACGCTCTCTTTACACGCTTATAGATGCTTTCTGAGCCTTAGGATTAGGGAATGCAATCCGGACTATCCGTAATCCGAGAAATCCGGATATCCGTAAATTTTTACTCGACTTTCCGGATTCAAAAATCAAATCCGCGGATTTTCTGAATAATAAGAAATAGTAATTTGCAGAACTGTAGAAAGCCGTATTAATCCTACAGAAGTGTCTGTTGAATCACATAAAACTATTTCCAGAGAAGAAGAGTCTTTAGATCAAGAAATGAGTTTTCGAGAGAGATTAGCATTTGAGTTAAACAAAATCAATAAGGCTGGAGAAGAAAATGTGCTCATTAGCCGAAAGCCTGAAACTGATATTCCCAGTTTAGTGCGAGTGTAGATGGCGTTATTCGAGGACAGTGGTTCATGGACGATATTTGGAGGCCGCTTATAAGCATCTTCAATGCGTTCCCCCTACAAGCGTCGAATCAGAGCGTGCTTTTTCTGCAGCAGGAATTATGTGTAACCGAATTCGCAGCAGGTTAAATGATAGCACTTTAGATGCTTTATTATTTTTGAGGTCACATTTTATGCCTCATAAAATAACCTAGGTTTTTTTTTTCATTTATGTTGATTAAAGCGAAGTTGAATTATTTTGTTACTTTTGTTATGTCTATTAATTTGACAAGAAGTCTATTACTTATTTATGTTTTCCAGAATTTCTTTTAATTTTATTTTTACTAACGTTACTCAGCTAACGAGTCACAGACTGATTATTTATTTTCGTTTAATAATTCGAGAAGAAGTTTATTAATTTGTCTTTATTTTTGATCTCCTAAGTTTATTTTAATTTGTATTTTTTAACGTTACTCACTAGCGAGTTACAAACTGATTATTTAATGAGAATATTATAGCTATAATACCAAAATATTAGTATTAAAATTGATTAGTATTGAAATTGAATAATTCCAAATAACAAAAATAAAATAAAAATCACATGATCTGATTTTCCAGTGTTTTATCTTAATCCGTTCACACAAATATAAGAAACATCATATTAATAAACTGATATAAGTAGGTTTGTTTATTTTCATGAAAAATCCGTAAAACCCGGATAATCCGGATTGGGCCAAAAATCCGTTCTTAAAAATTCGGATTTTAAAACAGGACGGATTTGCATTCTCTTCATCCCAAGTTGGGATGTATGGAAACCTACTTTAGATAAGTTTAGTGTTCATCTTTGCCAACCATTTCGGGGTTAAAAGGCGCGACATTTAATCATTACAGGTAGATAGTTCGATACCCACACTTGTTCGGGTCTGGGGGCGTTACAAAAATGAAAGTCAAAACCATAATAAATTCTCTGCCATTAATTGTTATTGGAGTTTCGCTTTCGCACCGACATAATTAATTCTGTACTTGTACTGAAATTAGAACAAATTCGTGACCAGACCTCTAAGTGTTATCTGTTTTATAGTCTTCCGATCTTTTTAGGTTTTCATTTTTGTTACTTCTTATTTGGCTTAGGATAATTCGATTTCAACTTCTAAAAATATTTATTTCGACTGTTCAAAAGGTGAAATGGATTAGGAAAAAGAAATTTTATATTTAGAGGGTCTTTATTTTAGTTAGTAGTTTCTTTTAAATGTGTAGTTATGTGTGCGTATTCTGTTTTGGTTCTTTGTGTACAATTATATCAATTAGTGAATACAAGTTCTTGTACTTAGTGATAATTGATTACCGGTCATTTTAAGCATAATCTAACGAATTCAACGAACTCAATTTGTCCAAACCAAATATTTATATTAATATTTATCAAAATCTAAATTTACGAAATCTAAACACTCACACACTAACACAATATTTTCATTACAGGTAATAAAGCTATTAATAAATAGCGTGAATAGATTAAATTTCTAAAATTGAATGTGAACTTAAACATGACAAATCAAATCTAAATAATATCATACTAACAACTTATTCATAATAATAAATCTATAGATAGTTGTCTCATGTACACCATTTTGCATTTAGTTTTCATCATCTAAAATTCAAGAACTGATCTGAATTCCTAGAATCTTAAATTCAATAGGGAATAGTTGAAATCAAAAACTAGTAACTCGGAGAACTCTCGTCTGCATTTCAAAATCAAATTGTGGGCGACAGATGAACTTATTGACTTTAAAGCGATGCCAGCGCCACTCCGCATTCGTGCCATTCACATTTACTATTACTCAATGTGGCGATGGAAATTCGGTATTTTATTGCACCAAGATAGATCAATTTTCTGATTAATGAAGTCAAGTGGTTAAAGTAATTAAGGGTAAATAAAATATGAGATACCTTTGTGTACAAGAACCTCAAAATCGACTTTACCTATTAAGGTATAAACTTGATAAAAATCAAATAAACTTAATAAAAATGGTAGCAATATTAATTTCAGTAGGGTACACAGATATTTTTTCGACGAAGGAAAAACATAACATAACATAATATCACGCCTTTTATCCTCGAAGGGGTAGGCAGAGGTGTACATTATGCCACTGTACAATGTAACACCCATTTTTCACTATTTATGTTATGAGTCCCATGTAATAGGGGGTGAGCCTATTGCCAAATACCGGCCACAACTCCGTGCTACTATTGTGAATTTTTTTAAAAACCTAGTAATACTTTGCCCGACTCGGGAATCGAACCCGAGACTCCTTGCCCGGCATTCGCAATTGTGACCACTCGGCCTGAACAGATAAAATTGAACTATAAGTTATTGTTCACCTAAAATAAACTATTCGTTTAACAACCTTCCCATTTTATAGCAATACTAGTTTAAATTATACTTAGGTAAGTACTTGCATTTGCATTGAATTCAATCTTAAGCGCCTACGAACGAGCAAGGTCGTGACAACAGCTTTCAAAGGATCCTCCAGCAAATTCTACTTTAATGCATTTAATAATAATAATCCCATCATCTTCGTTTGCAAGCTATACTTACTTATATAACCTATCGATAGACCAGTCAATGAGGAAGAGATTCTAATGTAGACATGCAAGTATAATAATACATTACGGTCCATAAGAATTTATATCAAAATACAAGCAGCTTACTCAGTGTTTTCGCAGACAAAAGTAATTTGTATGACGGTAGAGTAAGGTTTATATTCGGTTGTAGAAGTGTTGTTGTGATTTAAAAGGGGGGGAAATGAGGCTCTCGCGCCGGCGCAGCCAGTGTGACGCGAGCGTTGGCGCGCTGCGCCCGAGTAGTTTTAACGGTTTGTGAATTACGCCAAATCGAAACAGAACTGCTTTGAAGTGAAAGTGCCAGGATGTTGTGATGCACGTGTTGTGTTAAGTGTACAATCGATTAGAATCGTGTGATAACCAAAATCGATTAACAAGTTAACGCAAAGTGATCGAGTACGACATCGGATAACTCTACGGTAGGTCAAGTGGTTCTGTACAACTATCTTTTTATGCACCATTCACGAAGAGAAAACGTTGTTCGTCAGTCTGTCAAAAGGTTTTTTTTTCACGGCAATTATTGCAGGAATGTTGGTTTGCGAAACTGGTCAACTGTTCATCGTATATTTTATAAATTACGTTGCATATGCACGCTAATTTGATACCTCCGTATAAGGAATATGGTTGATGTTCGTTTTGTCTAAGGTTTGTTTTGAATTTAGTCCGATGTTTCTACCTGGTTGTCTTTTGAGAACGTGTTGTGGGTTTATTCGTCAAAAAACATTTGTTTATTTTTGGACACTATAATCTTCTAGTCATAGTTAGAACTGTATTTATAGATATGTAAACTAATTTATATACTACATGATATTATGTTAAGAGCATAATATTTGCATCAGACTTAAAATACTAACAGAATACTATCTAGCATGACTTATTCGACATTAGTCATTGTGTTGTGATTTCCGAGTTCTGATCATATCGAATTCAAAGGTCGTCGTTGTCACTTTAAATGCTTAGCACTATTTGCGAAACAAGTGAATATTATTTTGTTAACTGAGAACATACGGGGTACTTACTTATAGTATATAATTAGTTTATTGACACAAATTAATCTAAAAATGTCTATACATATATGAGTCATGTGTGAATGACTCATCACAGAAGGGTAAAGACCCTTATTTAGGTAGGTAAGGTACAATCTTCGGTGGTGTTTTAAACAAAAAAGTAATCCAATAATGATGAAATGTTGTGAAATTGCTCTTCTTACTTTTCTAGGAGTTTTTTTAACAGAAATTTCCTTCTTACAACTTAAGGAATACTTCACATCTACAAATGACATCACGGACAAAAAGTGTTACAAATCTTTAATATTTAAGTATCATTAAAATATCGAAGAAGAAATTCATTTCCACAGGTTTTACCGCAATCAATTTAGCCAAATAAAGCATGCGCATCCTTTTTCTCTGATCATATCATTTTCAACATAAGAGTGCACTGTAGCGCATAAAATGAAAGTACTTATAGTTGTTTGGTCTCTAAATATGAAATATGATATAGCACAGTACTTTAGTAAAAATAAACGATTGAATATGATATGATTTACGATTCATTCTGCAATCATAACATACAAATATATAATATATGTGTTTTTATGGGATGAGCCGATAAACGAGCAGACAGCAGGTGATCTGTTTGATAGTAAGCAATCGGCGTCGCCTGTGGACTCCTGGAATACCAGAGGTGTTACAAGTGCGTTACCGGCTTTTTGAGTATTAGAAATTTAAGGATTGTTGAGGATTCAGGGATGGGAGAGATTGAAGAAGGGGGGAGAGGACGTAATTGGGCCTCCAATAACTTCACTCACAAGACGAAACACAACGCAAGCGATGTTTCACGTCAGTTTTCTGTGAGGCCGTATCATCACTCCGGTCGGGGCGGCCCAATCGTGCCGAAACATGACTCTCCCACACCTAAATGTCCTCGTTTTCATGTAATGAATAAATCTTTTTCTATTTTCTCTGAATGAGAATGATTAGCGAAAACTGTCTTCTCCTAAAACTGTCGAACTCTCTACAAAAC